TGAACAGGATTCATCGATTCATATCCATATAGCCCTATGATATAACATGCTCTTGTATCTTGCTTGAGGAGACCAAATCGCTGCCACCTTTGCCAGACGTATCCCAGCAAAGGGCTGGGCCACATGCTTTTGTGTCTTGGAATATGAGTATCCTGCTGAACTGGAACATGAATGGTCAAACCCAATCACCAGACCTGTCGTTTGCCATATAAGGTGGACAAATCTGTCTGGGATGATGCACTCTTGGAACATTGGCTGCGCTTAGATTTTCAAGCGTTCAAACACTCGACCTTGATGTGTGGTATAGTTTCATAGTATGCTGAGATGTTCTGCCCAGCTGCAGGTAGAGTTCATGATTTTGCTGGAGAACGAGGTGAAGCTTGGCCACTTCCAACCTCGGCCAAATGTGCCGCTTCGGTGTGCGCCGATGGGTGGGAGTGAAGTGTCCATCTATTTTGATTTGATCAAAGAGCCATCCTGCAACAAGCGCAGGAGGGGCAATTAGATTTCCCATGATTTAGTTTGCTGTAGGAGGGTCCTGCCATTGGATGAGACAACGCATGCATCCACTAGTTGTAAGGATTGTCCCCTTTGTGGCAGGATTCAGCCTAGAAAATTCATAATGATGCTGTGTGGTGATCGCCGCATGCATTCTGGGGAAAAACATGCCATTGTTCCATGTACGTACATGTTGTTTGCATGAAAACTGACAAAACCACACCCTGTTCAGAACTCATTGGGATTATGTTCATGGGGTTCAAGGGTTGCTACTGTGGTGCCGCATATTCCACGACCAGCGTCCAGGACTGGGTTGTCACTTTGTCAAAAACAATGAAGAACAGGAACCGTTATGGAACCGTTAAAAAACCTTTGGAACCGTTAAAAAAGGCCTTGGAACCGTTAAAAATCTACTGGAACCGCTATCCAAGATTTTCAGGAAAGGGCTGGTGGGTGTTGCAACGTATACAGCGTCGTGCAGTTCTGTTCAGCCCATATTGTTCATGCCATGTGCAGGATGCCGCGGCCAAAGAAGCCTGTTGTGCCTTCGCCGCCTATGGACTCCTCTGTCGTTCAGGGGTTCTTGGCAAAAGCTCGGTCAATGGTTGCATCAGTTGGTGAAAAGCGCAAGTCACAGGATGGTGATTCTGCCAGCTCGCCACCTGCTACCAAACCAAAGGGGTCCTCACCAGTTCCAAGCAAGCCTGCAGCATCAGTGAAGGCTGCCCATCCCCCTCCAAGCAAGGCTGGAGGGCCATTGCCAGTGGGAAAACCGTGCCCCCCACCTCCACCCCCACCATCTACCAGGGTTAGGGGAAAGAGTCCTGATGACCGCAGTATGCTTCCTCTCACCAAGCCGAAGGCACTCGCTTTGACCGCTGTTCCACTCAAGCCAAAGTCGCCATCCCAATCACCCAACGCGTCTCCCTGCTCTACGTCATCATCGTTGTCTACTACTGCGTCTTCCGCTTTTCAACGAACCCAGCAAGCACTGCTGGAAGCAAAGGCAGCCCGGTTAGCTAAGGAAGCAGCTGCTTGTGAGGCTGTGCATGTGGAGACTGCGGGGCCTGTCCTAGGTGATCCGAAGCCTGCTCAGGATGGTGATGGTGGTGAACATGTTGGGGAGAAGGTTGAGCATGTGGAGGCTGTGCAGCTTGTGGAGCCTGCTCGGGGTGATGATGGGCATGATGAAAAGCCTGTTGTGGAGCCTGTCGGGCCTGCTCGGGGTGGTGATGGGCATGATGAAAAGCCTGTGGGGGAGGTTGTGGAG